GACAGGGTGAAAAATCTTGATAAATGATTAATTAAGGCTGCAGTCGTAGGCATACTTCCTAGGTAGTATGAAAGTAGTCTATTTGAAATCAGTAGGCCTTACTTTTGAGTAGATCCAGAGGACTCTGAGGAAAGTAACTATGCTGTTTAACACACGCTGTTAAAAATAGCTTTTTTCCAGTTTAATCTTAAACCTATCTACCTTCTCAATCTCTCTCTCTCTCTCTCTCTTTCTCTCTCTCTCCCTTTCACACACAAATATACCTAGCTATGAATCATGGCTCACGTTCAGTGATATAGTTAAGTAAGGAATGGAGATGAATATACCTGTCCCAGGATAATGTTGCAGGATCCAATCTGGGTCATTCATCAGGACCAGAGGTTTTGTCTTCTGAGATTTTGGACTCATGCTGCAGCCCATCCTCAGGGAACCTCTCTCTAGCAGTGTGTGTTACTGTTAGAGAGAAATTCCTTGAAGATGGGCTTCAGCTTAAGTCTGAAAGCTTGGAAGACAAAACCTCTGGTCCCAGTGAATGACCCAGATTGGATCTTGCATAGTTAGCTAACTTGGTGGCTCAGTGGCTAAGACACTGAGCTTGTCAATCCGAAAGGTCAGCAGTTTGGCGGTTCGAATCCCTAGTACAGGTCTCCTGCGTGAGCAGGAGGTTGGACTAGATGATCTCCAAGGTCCCTTCCAACTCTGTTACTGCTACCTAGGTAATTTTACACTTTCGTTTCTTTTTTCTTTTGTCTCCTTTCTTCCCTTTGATATATTAATATAGGTGTATTTTGCTTGTTAGAGAATACGGTGCACCACTCCTGACGCAGCTCAGAGCTGCTCCTGAAAGCAGTCCTGGCCTGAATGGTTTTTCTTTAGTCTTGCCTTGATGGCACTGCTGCTGCTTGTGCTCCCTGCTCCAAATCTTTTGAAGCTCACCACTCTTTGCAAAGCAGGAAAGGGAAGAGAGAAGAGTTCATTTTATTATTTTATTCCCATTCACCCCCATTTTGCAGCATTCGTATATAAACTCACACATACATAAATAAAATTTAAAAAGATGCATATTTTTAGGGAAAAAAGAAAGAAAGAAAGAATAATCCTGGCTCTTAATCACTGAAACCAACTCATCCAACCAGGGTTGATCACTCCCTTCCACTCTCCCTCCATTTCTCTCTCTCTCTCTCTCTCTTTCAGTAGGCAATGTTTGTTTTGGGACATTTTCAAAGGTGAGGCTTTCATCAATTTGTTTTTCATTTTCTATCTAGAAGGTAAATTTAAAATTCCTCCGCTGGCCAAGCTGGCTGGGGAATTACAAGAGCACCAGGCTTCCAGAAGCGTGTTGGGGTGGGCTGGACTAGGATATGCATTATTAGTTTAAAAAGGGATAACCTACTTTCTTTATCTCATTAATAGCCATTATTGGCACATTTTATTTATCTATTTTGGGGGCATCATATGTAAAAACACTTTATTTGGGCTGCAGAGCAACTAGCCTAATAGTCACAAAAGCAGGATTCCGGCAGGAATTTCAATTTGATTTTCTCGGTGTTAGTGATATATTTTCATGTGAGGTTGTCATTCTCACCTCTCACCTCCAATTCTATGGCTAGGAACTTCCTGGACTAGGAAAATTCAGAGTCCATCATTCTATTGGCTTTCACACTGTTTTCCAGAATCAGAGGTGCCCACAGCTATTGCTTTGTCCAGGTAAAAAGTTCTAACCAAGTAGCTCAGCAACTTAAATTATATCCAGTTTTCCTGCTGACTGCTTGTTGAACCCAGTTGGAAGTGCTGAAGTTTATTTATCTAGGATGCAACTTTTAGCCAGGTTCTGGGTAGCTTTGGTCCTACTTTCCTCTTTAACCTGATAGGACAGTAGAATGAGACCCTGCCCTCAAAAACCACCTACTCCTGGAAATCTTGTATCTCTCCCCCGTTCCCCCGTCCCCCATCAACCAAGACTGTCAAAACATCCCATTTAGGAGCACTTCTAATCAATATAACTTAGCTATTTTCTTGATACTTACAGTTCTACTCTGGAGAGAAGAACTGATTACAGCTGAACCTTTCTCCATAAATTTAATTTTTATGTGGGAGAAGGCTGATATCCATGGGGCACAGGGAAGAGAGGGTTAACTCTTCCCTCCCCATCTATGCATATCTGAAAATACCCACCCACCCACCTCATCATCTCACTAATGTCCGTATTGGCACTAATCGAAAGTTTCTTTCTCAACCCTCCCTGTCTATATCTTAAATTGCCAGATTGGGAGACCAGACTTTCTGCAGTTTGCACATATGATGGAGAAAATGATTAATCTTCCTGCCCCTGATGCAAGCCCTCCGTGCACCTAGCATTAAGCTTATTTTGGAGGGGAATATATTGCTATCAATGAAAAATATAAGGAAAAATGATTCAGGGGAGTGTTCTCATTATCTCTGCTTCCTATAGACACAGATTTGGACTTGAGTTCATACAAATCTCCATCTCTGGCCTGAAAAGTCATTTTTGTTAACCAACGTTAGAATAGCCAGGGGCCTATTAGAACAAGGCATTAACATGCGCTGAAATATTCCCATTTAGTTCTCCCAAGTCTCCTAAACATGCTTTAGAGCACCAGGCTCATGTCTCCAGGCATTCCTGGACCAAAGTATCTGAACCATTGCTCCTTTTGGTTCTGCTGCTTGCTACATCATCTGACATGAAGCGGTATGATTGGTTTATCACAAGTTACAGGGATGGTAGTAAGCTTAGAAGTGCTTGGAAAATACCACAGTACATTGAATCAGTAGTCCCCATAGCCCAGCCTCTTTCTCCTGATTTTAGCCAACCCTTTTGTAAAGTCCAGAAGTAGAATATGCTGAACTATCCACATGCTGAAATATTTATCCCCAGCATTTGATAGGCACGCTACAAACAGCCTCAACAATGAAGATTAGAATTTTTGCTGTCCTGGCCAGCAACTACTAGTGGACCCTATAATCCAATAGCGGTTAGATTCTGATGCCCATCTATCGTTTTGTTGTACAGATTCTTGTAAAGGTTCCTGGAATATAAGGACTTTGGTCTGATCCAACCACGTTTTGCTTGTATTTGTATAATTGTTTGTATCTCACTTTTCAGGCCTAAATTCATGCTACTTTCTTAAAGATTGGGAAAGTAAGTAAATTTCCAATTATTTGGTTTGTAAGATTTAAGTAGGATTTCTAGATCAATTTACTTTAAGAGATTTCCATTTTTTTTAAAAATCATTTATCCTTGGAAAGTAATATCACCTTCCCAAATTACATTTCCACTTAACTGAGTTTCCAATTCTGAAATCTAGTTTTGAGTGACTGTACCACTTTGTATCCATCACACCTTCAGATTCAATGTTGGGTATACAGTATTAGTCTGAGTACAAGGAGACTTTCCCAGATCAGAGGTAAGTTCTAAATACGGTGCTAAGACCCTGTGAACACGGGCACAAATACTTCACAGCACATCCAGATTCTGAAGATAGAAGCTTTACACGAACTGTCTTCAAATGGTGCGATTCAAATGAGAATTTCCTGAATTCTCAGATCTTCTGGTGTTGCCACTGTTGACCCTGAATTAAGTGCTAGGGAAAGAGTCTTTGCAAAACTGGGGAGGGCATAAAGCTGGTGGAGAGGCACATGGTCATTCCTGCTCCCCTGGGAAGCCATATACTGTATGTGCAAATCCTACAAAGAGGCATAAAAAGCATTACCCCAAAGCACTGCCTACTCAAGATATGAGAGAGTGATGCTTCACCAGGTTTCTACTCAGTATTCATACAGACAGCTGGAGCCTGGGGAACTGCGTTAGCCTTCGCTATAAGCAGCCTTCCCTGCTCATGCGTTTCTGTAAAACTTCCATTAACCCCTCGTAGATTATGGGAGTTGTAGTCCAAAACAAGCACTGGTCTGAAAAAAATTGCTGAGCTTGGAAACCTGGTTTGAAGGAAGGAATCTCATCCAAGCCCTTTCACTGAATGGCTTGGTTTTATTTATTCTATTTTACAGTTGGGCGAGAGGGGCTAACATCAAAAAAGGACTCAGTATACATCATACAGTATAAATACCGGATCGTTGTCCCCTTCAAAGATAGCAAGGGGGAATAAGATTTAAAAAAGGATAAATTGGTTAATCATCCTTTCTGTCTAAACAATCAGAACCACTCTGCTGGCTGAGTGATGATATGCCTACTTCCCAAGCAAATAGTACTACTCAGTTCCATAGGATTTATTTCCAGGCAGGTGGGTCTAGGATCACAGCTCAAAGAGCAAAGATTTTCTCTAGCTTTTGAATGTGGACTGCTATCATTCAAGTCATTTCCTTCCTTTGCAGAAATTGTGCCTCTTCTCTTCGGAACGGGCAAAAAAATAAAAATAAAAATAACACCACCACCACCCCCTTAGGAACAGGATCCACATATTTTCGGTTCTTCCCATCTTACTAATTCCTTCATAGCTCTGGAATAATAGTTTTGAGTCCGGGGTACATCAGCAGGATCGGGACCCCGCGCACGCGGAACTCGTGGCTACCCATCCATTGTCTTGGCGCGTCAAAGGGACTAAGTAAGTGCTCTTTGGTTTAAACCGGGAAAAGGGAAGACTATACCGCAGTTACCGTGAGGCGGCCGTCCCTTTTTGAAAACTTTCCCCCACAAGAAGATCCTGAACCTCGGGGTGGAATCGAGCACAACCCGAAAAGGCAAACGGAACGATCCCGAGGATCCTCCCTAGGTTTTCCAGATCACCGCTCCCCAAAAACTGCCCATAACCACCACCACCCAAAATCAACGGAACGATTAGAGTTGGGACGCCAGACAGGTGTCCGGAGCCGGGATGAGACAAACAGGTGTCCCCGCGCGGGTGCGCTCGGCCCGGCGGAGAGCGGAGCGCGCAAAACACCTGCGCGGGATCCGCACACACTAGCGGGGATCCCCGCTAAGAGCCCGGCTAAGAGAGGCGACCGGCGTGAGAAGAGCCGCCTACCTGGGTCATGAGGCGGTCGGCGCCGGTGTTCTCCTCGTCTTTGAAGATGATGTCCGGGTTGTAGTTGGGCGTCAGCTCCTTGAAGCGCTCCGAGTTGCGGGCGATCTTGCCTTCGTACCTGCCGCTTGCGCCCAGCGTCTTCTCGGGCACGTTGGGGCTGAACTGCTTGTAGGCGAGAGGGATGAGTTTCCTGGGCGGGCGGCGACGGCTGCCCACTACCCGGCCCGGCCCGCAGCCGCTCACCTCCGGCGCCAAGAGGAGCAGCGCGCAGCCGCTGAGGAGAAGCAGCAGCCGCGCCGCCTTCATGGCTCTGACGGACCCAGCGGAGCTCAGCGGGACTCGCTCCAAGACGAGCAGCAGCAGCAGCGGCGGTGGCGGCGACGACGGCCGGGCTGCCCCGGGAGGGGAGCAGCGGCCGCGGCCATGCGGCGAGGGGGGCAGGTGAGCTGGTCGGCCGCTCTGAGCCGGCCCGCTCCGGCCGCCGCCAATAAATAGCGAAGGCTCCGTTTGTTTTGGCTGCCGCGGTTAAAGCGTCGCCGCCGCCGCCGCCGCGCTCTAGCGGTCAGCGCTGCCGCCGGAGCTGCTGCTCTTTCTGACTGCGCCTCAGCTCGCGGAGCACGAGTGAGCGACGGAGAGGGGAAATTGAAGAAATCCGGATCGGGGATCGCCAGGACCGCACCCAGCCCGTGGCCGGCCCTCTCGCCCTCCCTTTCCTCCTCCTCCTCCTCCTCTCCTAACCTGCCTGTCGCTGCCAGGGCCCCGCCGACCGGGAGGTGGGCGGGCGGGTGGTGAGGTGGGGGGGGGGAGGCGAAAGCCCGCCCGACCCACCTCCGGGGCTCGCTCACCTGCTGTCATTGGGGAGGCGGACGCGCGCCTCCGCCTCGGGAGTGCCGCCCTCGCCCCCTCCTTCCCTCCCGCCAGGCTCCCGTCTCCACGTGCTCCGGGCCGAAGGTGCCAAAGAGGTCATCGAGGCTGTCGTCCCGAGGAGCGCTGCCTCGTGCCAGGGACGGCGTTGGCGCGACCCAAGCGGCTGTCGTTTGGGTCGGGCTCCAAAAAGGCGTCCCCGGGCTTCGAGAACGGTGTGGGGCAAGGGAGGGGCCCAGCGCCCTCCAGGCCCAGATCAGATCGTAATCTGAGGATAATAATAATAATAATAAAAATAAAAAGGCCAGAAGGAGCTGGAGGCGGAAAAGACGCCCCCCCGCATTGATCGCACGACTCTAGGTCTACCCTCACTTCGCAGTCTGGAACCCGGTCCCTCGATCTGCCCCACCCGTGTGTGTGTGTCGGGGTGTCCCTGGCTTGCTCGCGTGCCCGGCTCCCTGGGCTCTGGCAGGCAGGGAGGGGAAGCTCAGCTGGTTGAAGTTTAACCACCACCTCCTGGGGCCCTATTGTTCGGCCAGAGGCCCGATATTTCCACAGCGGCTCGTAGGATCTGATTAACCGGCTGAGACAACAATGCCGCCTGGGCCGGGCTTCCCCTCGCAGCTGCCAGCGGGCAAAGTCAACATAAGGCCCGGGAGCACAGTCCCGGAGGAGCCAGAGTACTTCGTGGGAGTCGAGCCTTTTAGTCCCGGACCTGTTTCGGTGCCAGAGTTCAGCTCCGGAGCGGTGGCAAAACTGCAGGAAGGAAGAGACGCCCCCAGAGCATGTGCAAAGTTATTTTCTGTGTCAGCCCAGGCGGAATACAAAGCGGTTCCCTTTTCTAGAAATGGCCAGCCTGCTTCTTCTCCTCATCCCGATGGCTTCTACCAAATTAAATGCTGTCCTTCCTTCCTCCCTCTTTACTAAATCTCGGGCTTCTTATTGACATGAAGGGTGAATTTTCCTTATAAATAAGGGGAAAGGAATAAAGGAGGCGCCTTTATTCCCAATCTGGCTCTTTGCTACTTTGCCCTACCACAGTCCCACTAGGCTAGGGTCTCTCCGGCAGGCTTGGGATCTGCAGCTCTGTACCATCAGGACCATCTGTGTGCATCCAGTGCAACTGAATAGCTTCGGGTAGAGGAAATGATGACCGGCTTGGGAGAAAGTCCCTTTCCAGTGAGAAGAGCAGGGCCATTTCTTCTGTAGGACAACAGCATCAGAGGTTGAAGCTTAAGTTTCAAGCAACTTGCCCAAGCTCTCTGTTGGTAGGAATGGAAAAGAAAGATGGCAGAAGAAACCACCTGAAATCTGAGCTTGCATGTAGAACCTGAGGCTCATTGACTGGAGGTGTGTGGTGCATGCGCTCTTGAGGGGCATACTTCAGCCAGCAGGAAGTGTTAAGGCACTCCCATTGTGCCTCTGTGGCATTCGGTCACTTCTTGGCACCCTTGAAAAGAAGCCATGCTGAGAGATCCTGCAGCAAAACTGAAAGGGGGAAGAGTTTTCCATCCGGAGAGCAGCTTTTTTTTGCAGTGGAGACCAGATTAAGCCATCCCTGGGGTCCTTATCCTGAAGACTGGTGCCCAGAAGGGGACCTAAAAGCCAGCCAATGGCAAATCGAAAAGATAGAGGAAACTGAAACAGCCAGGAGATGTGTGGAACTGATGGGACAGAGAAAAGGCTTCCAGGATCTGCAAAGAATCCCCTGGGATTTTACTTTGCTAGCATTTGATGGAGATAGCAATGGCACAACAGCCTACTTTCTTTTCTTTAGCTATCTAGGCACAAGGCCTGGATCCTCTTTTCTCTTCAGAACTGGCTCTTACATGTAAGTGATTGCATCTGGGGGGACGGGACGGGAGTGGGGGGGACGACAAACCAGGATTCAAGTTCAGAAAGGTTTAACTGCAAGTAAACTGGGAAGCCAAACCCAGTTGATGGTTGGGCCATCAAGAAATCTCTGCCTTTGTAACACCTTGTCATCCGCCAAGGCACTTTCATCCTACAGTGTAGCCTATGTGGTGGCCTCTAACTGTCCTCTGCTATCATTCCCATTGTTGCTAGCCAGACACACTTCTGAAGAGCATCAGATGTGAAGAGGCTGTTCCCAGCCATATAAACATACTTTCAGCAATTCTAAGTCTCTTGATTTCACCCCAATTCAAATTTACTCAAGGGTAAAATGCAGCAAGCTTAAAAATGCAGTTTCCCAAAAATAAACCAAGGAGATGTTTATTCAAAATTCAGGAAAATAGTAATCTTACACCCAGATTCTGGATCGTCAACTTGGCAGCGGTTACAGTGTGCCCAGAGATTTGTATCCCTACTCTCTGGTCTTTCTGGATTACTTTTCCCACCCAGGGTGGTCATGGTGGCACATTCATAATTTTATTGCTATCTGGCTCTTGGTCATTTTTATTGGCCATGTGCACCACAGCATGCATTTTTGTGACAGGACCCGTTGCTTATTTTCAAAATCCCAACTATATTCCCAAAGAGCCCTGCCTCAGTCCAACCTTTGGGGGGGGGGGACTTTGCAATTCCCTGAAGTCTGGCATGAACCTTCAAGAGCCAGGGCTATGGATGGAGGGGCTGTGTCTGGTTCTGAGGCGAATCAACGGCGGCGCTTAGCAACGAGACAAGATGCGGGCTAACGCCCTGGCCTGGCACGCCTAAAGGCCGTCGGCCCAGGCCTCCCTGCAGAGAACATGCAGTCCAGGGGGCGCTATTTCCTTATTTTTCAAATCCAGCCGTTGTCGGACAGAAGAAGGGAAAAGTAGATTTTTGGAAAAGGCTCGGCCTCGTGCTTTAGGCTCACCGTCCACGCGGTCCCGGCTGGGTCCGGCTGCTAAGGCTCGTGCGCGCACACTGCAAGCCATTGATCCGCCGGTAAGCATGCCGGGTGCCTCCAAGTGTGCTTCTCTGGGGCGTTTAATCCAAGCAGGCATCTTTTTACTCCAGGGCAATCAAGAGCTTATTTCTTGCACCCCCCCACCGCCTCCAATCGCGGGTAAGCCTAATTGGGGGGGGGAGTTAAACCATGCACCCCCCCCATGAGTGAAAATATACAGATCAGGTCTGTATGTGTAAAATCTTTGGAGCCCTTGCAAGCTGATTACAGGGAAGCGGAGTTTTCTAAATAAATATAAAATCAAATAATGCCTGAACTCACAAACTCACACTTGTAGACCCCGGCGGACTCCGGAGTTTGCTGAACAAGAGTGAAGCAATAAGGTTTGCTTCCCCGAAAAGTGCTTTAAAAGCCCCGCCCCATTTCCCGGGGTGCTAACGTTTTAGGCGACTCCCTCTCTCCCCCCCTCCACCCCCCCCCCCAATCGAAGCTGATTTAGGGCGGCTTTCTCCAACAAGGTGCCCGTCGGAAATTTTGGACCACAAAATGATCTCGCCGATCATGTGGACTTAGGAAATGGCAGTGTGCCGTCTGGAGAACGCGACGTTTGGGGAAAGCCGCCTTTTATGCTTTTAAAAGGAGCGTGTTAGGTTTTGAAGGGCGAGAGAAGAGAAAGAGGGCGACCTTGTGAATTCCAAGGCCAGTAAATGATTTCTTGGCATTCAGGTAGACCATCACCTGAACGTGGGCACAAGGCAGGGACAGCAGCAGATGCAGAAGCTGCAAAGAGGGAGACCGCTATGAACCAGAGGAAGAATTGATGGGATGGATTGAAGAGCAGTTAAATGGTACTGCCTGGCTTGGGAGGAAAATGGTTGAAAAACGATGAGGCGTTTGAGGAGAGTCAGCCAGAATTGCTGATTTCAAGTGTCTGAAGGAGTCACTTGTAAAGCAGGGGGGGTGGAATTGTTCAGAATTATTTCAGAAGGCAGGACAAGAATCAGGAGGTTTAAACTACAAGGAAAGAGATGGAACAAATTTCCCTAATTTCCCTAATATTTAAAAAAAATATTGAAAGTATATTTTAAAAAATGGGGAAACTGGCTGGGGACACTATAGTAACAGATTTTTGCCCTGGGTAGAGGATTGGACTAGATCAGGGTTTTCACACCTTTTCAAGCTGCAGAACTTGTTCATTAAAAAAAACAACAACCACATCCTGGAATCCTTGCCCAAGAGACAATGCTCTACTACTAGAAAAGTGGCAATAAAATGAAACCTATGTTCATTATTTATTGATCCAAACACCAATGACTTTAATATATATCCTCAAATTGACAAAAATGGATGCCCCACATTATCCCAGAAAATTCCTTATATTTGTAAAATATAAAAATTTAACTTTAATTGTACATATAACATCAACGTTTTCAACATACAAAAATTAAAGCTTGAATTTCACAATTCATTGGACAGATGTTTTAAACAAAATCAATGCGTTTTTTTCTTTAAAGATCGCTATAGGTATATCAATTCCGTCCATTCTTTTCCTCATAGTTTGAAAAATCTTGGACTAGATTATCTATCTGTAAGCCCCCTTCCAACTCTTGTTTTACATAATTCTGCATGATAAAGCAACATCTATAATTTCACCATTAGAACTTAATTTACGATCACAGTTGTGACCAGAATCCCAGTCACTGAGTGACGCAGTGGTTAAGTGAGATGCCCACATGACTACTTCTTTAAACAACCACAATCCCTGCTCTCTCAGCTACAGTTGTTAAAGCAACTATATGGGTCATTAAGCAAATGAATTGAAAGAGCTCCTTGCCAAAGGAGGGCAGGTAGTTCCCCTTCATGGGTGGAAGGAACCTCTGCGACAGAGCTTGGCTCTTCAAGACCTAAACTCTGTTTCTGCAGCCCT